CCCTCTGCAGGAGGAATTTGGGGTGCTCCCAACCTCCTCCAGCCCTATGCAGAGATGCTTGTCCCAGGGCTGGCACTGCCTATCTGGGCACCAGGAGGACATGTCCCTGTCCCCCCACGGTGGCAGCCCCTGCGTGCGGCGTACTTGGGACCAGCAAGCATCATCCCCTGCTCCACCACGGTGGGGGACCAGCGTTGACGCAAGCGGAGAGGGAAGGCGAGATGTTTTCTTCAGGTTTGTTTTGTTCTGGGGTTTTGGGGTTTTTCTGTTTGTTTCCCTCTGGGCTGGTTGTAGCTCTGTTTACGCCATGGTGGTCTGGCACCACGTCTGGCGGGAGCTTCTGTGCTCTGGGGCCAGCATCTTGCCCTGAGAATATCGCTTCGCCCCGTGGGAGATGGAACAAATCCTTCTTCTCCGAGGAGCAGCCTTGGTGCCACCATTGCCATTGGGACCTCACTAAGGCTATTTTTGGGTGCCCCAACTCTCAGCAGGGTTTTTGGGACTGGCCTCAAAACCATGAGAGCCCCTACAGAAACCCAGTGCTTCCCAGTTTCATGCCGATGATGGCAAGGCATGACACTGGGGAGCTCTGGCCAGCCCTGCTCAGGGCAGCGTGAGGACATTTCCATGCCAGGCTGTGGTGGCCCCAGTGTCCCCTGCAGCCCTGGTACCATGTGTTCAGGAGCTGGCAGGGCAGCTGCTGGGCCAGGGGTGGGTAGGAAATCCTGCCCCACTGCCCAGCTGAGAGCAGGAGGGTCAGGCCAGCTCCTGCCCTACAATCAGACAGGTTATTTTTAACCCTCTGTGACTCCACTGGGGCCACACTCACCTGCAGAGCCTCGCAGACCTGCTCCACGCTCAGTGTGTCCTTGATGAACTCAACGCAGAGCTGGAAGGCGGATGGAGAGAGGGTGGGCAGAGCGGGGACCCAGTTCTGCCACCCCCTCCCATGACTCTCAGCACCCCTTGAGCCCCCCAGGACACGGGTTGGAGGCATCTCCAGCCCCACAGGGTTTCATAAGGCAGCGGCCGGGCGCGGGGAGAC